CACCAGCCATTCCCTCACCTATTGTGCATACTTTTTAGTGGTAGGGGAAACCGGAGCACACACTAAGCAGACACAGGGATAACATGCAAACTCAACAGAAAAAGGCCTTCATTAAATTCTATTAAATGTATTTTGTGTATATGTAAATGTTGTCTTACCATAGCCCTAAATCACAACATCTCAGAGGATTCTAGAAAGTTATCAATTCGCCAACACAGATCAGAGAATCAGACAGTTCAAAAACAGGAAATGCAATAAAAATGAACACATGGGAGCCATTCGTTTCTACTGAAGAGGCAGATCTTAAAGCTGCACTAACTGACTTTGGGATTTTGAAGCCGCGGACTCGCTGGCCTCTCTCTTTCTGCTCCCCTCCCCGCACCCACGAAGCTATCGCCCCCCACACACACTCACTGTTGGGACGGAGCTAGTGTCTCCCAATATGGATAAATACATGGATATGGATTTGCACGTGGATGGCGTGACCATAAAACGATAGAACCGGGAAGCGCGGAAGAACAGGACTTTCTTTTGGATGGCTGTTTCGCTAAGTAAGCAGTAACCGGTGATGAAGACACGAAGCTTCAGGTTAGCTCCGCCGCTTGTTGTGCTAACTCAGCCCTCTATGCTAACGGGCCTGTAGATTTCTCACGAAAGTGGGGGCCAGTGGTCCGATGTGATTGGTCACAATCTGCGACCCGAAACACATTCTCTTCCTTGTTTCATCAAAACTCGATCTAAAATATAATGTCACGCCAGCACAAATCTGCGCTAATTATTCTTCAAAAGGACGTATATCCCAATGCACTACATGGACATGGATAGCATTTTCGTAATGAATACGAAAATAAAGTCAGTTAGTGCAGCTTTAACAGTGTGGATTTTTTTTGGAGCACTGGCGGTAGTGTAAATGGGGATTGTCAAAGCAATGGCGGCTTGAACGTGGGAGATTAAAAATTATTAAAACACGAGTGAACCACTCTATTTACAACTTTGAGTGTACGAATAACACATACACAATGAGTTAGGGTGACAGCCCAAGCCTTTAAGTAGCTTTGTCAGTAATGTGCTTTTGACTCTCCTCTGAAAAAGAGCCAATGGTCAGCGCTCGAACTGGGGGAGGACCAGATAGATGCAGGGTCACAATTAGACTATTTTGATTGGTTCAATAACTGATGTTTCTGTATAGGCTCAACATTTAATGTGTGTTATCGTTCTTTGCAATGATGAGTAAGTGGTGCTATCTCTCTGGATTTTCTCAGTAGACGGTGAAATAAACTTCACTGCACATTTTAGCAATCAGAAAATGATGAGAACCCAGTGGGGCGGACAAAGGTAGGGGGAAGGTAAGGTGGTGGCAGTCCCCCGAGCAGAAGCAACAAGGAGTGGGGGGGTTGAATGCGGGCCACTGGGCGCTGGAGACAGGCCAAGCCACTAAGCCCTGGCAGCTCGTTAGCCTCTGTGTTACTGACCTGATAGACCACAAGCCCCCTCCCTCCCTCCCCTCTTTCTATCTCTTTTTTAATACTGTCCCACTGTTCAATGGCGCGCAATTGCTCTCAGCGTCCTTCGGGGGGCAGCACGGGCGGCAGGGAGCAGCTAATGAGCACCAGCATGTGCACTCCCATGCATTTCTTGTCCGTATATATAGAGTTTGTTTTGTTGAGTATAGTAGTATCAGTGGCTACTGATGTAAAGATTTGATTTTGGATTTTTATTTTCCCTATTTTGCCAAAAATGATTTACTACTATTGTTGCAATCTATTACATACAATGCATAATTATTAATATGGCTATAGATATTCAAGATTAAGGTAATGAGGCAAATCTTTTTGTCTCATATAGTGATGCAAAGATTACTATTGTTTGCCAATTGTGATTTTTCAGGTCTGAAATGGAAAAAATACTAATAATTGTAGAAGTTGTTGTTCTCAAAGTGTTGTTCTCAAAGTTAATTTTCTCATTTGCCGATAGCACCAGTTGGTGTTGTCTCTTTCCACTCAACATTAGATTCTCATTATAGTGACTTTGCTTTCTATTTTACATACTTTAACAAAGTTTGTTCCATGTACTCATTTTTTCTAGATTAGGAACAAAATTTCACCATCTTGTGTGAACCTGGAGGAGGAATTATTACATTTTAGACAAAGGAAATTCAAGATTATTGATATTTTTACAGTTCTTTGGTCAATAATGGTGAATTTTTGTTATTTGTGGCCTTTTTTCTCACAATAACCGCAACCCTAACTCTTTCATATCGTCACTCTCTCTAATGTCATAACACAGACATTTGTGTGACATTACAACCTAATGATCTTTTCAATAATTCACTCTTTATATGTTTAGGATTAGGTGAAAGTCTCTAAGATACCCTTGAATATAGCCTGCAATAGTCACATACATCGCATGGTCCATGTTGCTCCCTCAGTTACAGTTTGTGAAGACATTTTCCCCCTGGTTCTTTGCCCATCATCCCTCTGCTCCCCACACACACACACACACACACACTCCCGGCAGGCCTGCAGAGGGGGCATCGCGGAGCACCACAGAGCAGCTAATGAGCTCCGCCGTGTCCACTTGATTGAGCTTTGGCCCCTAGCCCGCGACGAGACGTGTAGCACACAGCGCACAGAGACGCAATTTATCAAATCAAAGGCCCTTGTTATTCCGGTCACCGATGAAGTCTATTACCACTGATGGTCACTAGACGCCGGCCACAACAAATATTGCTTTTATGCACTCTGTCATTTGTTCTAGCGACGGAGTAGGATCCTTTGTCGAATCAAAGGGTTGGTTATTGTCCCCAGACTGTTGCTGGCATGGCTTGGCGCCTTTGACGGTAGCTAGAAAGGCCCACACAAGGAAGAGGCTTTGATGCATTTTGTCTATAAAGTTGGTGATTTCTTTTTCTATGTGTTTTGAATTTTGGACAGCTTTGAAGGTGCTGTACCTTGTCCTGAATCCGCTCTTTGGCATTTTGTTCCTAATTGTTTTCCGCTAAGAGTCCCGGTTCACTACTTACAAATTAAAGCCGCATTATCAAACTCTCAAACCCCGAAATTTTTTCTTTATAACAAATCAACAGGAAACTAGTTCCTCTCTCTCAAAGCACTGTAGTCTACCTCTAGTTTTCACATGCATAAATGTTTCGCCTCTGCCATTTTCTGTATTGAGAATGTATTGATTCCATTGAAACCACTCCTGGTGCCTTTGTAATCTATCACTGTGGCCATCTCTTAATCTTAATCTATCACATGCTTGAAGAAGGAGTGACTCGGATTTCCTCCTTTCTCAACATGTATTATTTATTATGACATAAAAAGTGAGGTACTCTAGTTTTAACTCTGGTCTTATCTTCTATGTCATCTTTTACAGCATATGTACATAAGGGAAAACTTTATCCCAGGCAGCTACATGGCTACAATCTTGCCCAGGCCCTTTGACATATTCAAACTTATTCTAATGTGACTGCCGAACTACCGCAAATGACCACTAGATGTCATCTGCAGGAACAGCACTCGTAGCCACAGTTTCTCCCCCGTTCCCTTAAGGCGGCTTCCAGCGCTTGTCTACATCTGTTTATTTGTGAAAAGCGCAAATTCTGCTTATTAAAAATCTGCGCACAGGGCCCTTGTTGTTCCTCCCCGTCACAATTAAGCAGGACGTCTCGCTCCTCCTCCTCTCTCCAGATTCCTTTGCTAACATCTGCCAGAAACGTCCCCCCGATTTTAGCATTTAGAGCGCCGTTCGCCTTCGCACTTAGATCTTCAAATAGCTTTTCATGCCAGCAATTCATCACTTCTATTTGACTTTCTCTCTTGGAAAATGGCCACGCTCCGAGGCGGGTTTGCACTTTTGTCAGCTCTTTTACCTTGAAGCCTTTTTAAAGTCCTTAAGCGGATATTTAAATAACTGGCGATCCGTCTCGGGAGTGTAGTTAGCGCTAATACGAGATGATCCAACGGTTTTACCTGCAGCTTGCCAACATGGCGCCCGTTTCGAAATCCTCCTTTAACATGCCTTCTCCATCAGCGCAGTTAACAGATATTTACAGTGGCGATTACCTCCCTCAAGATTGACTTTGGAAAGAGTTTCCGGTGCTGGCTGCGACGGATGTAGCGAATGAATGAATTGTGTGGTTAGGAAAGATGAGTCATTTCCTCCCTAAGCTAAAAAAACTAAAAGAGATAGAGGTGAAGGCAGGAAATTCATTATCAATTGTTTGGCAATGGAATTCTGTTTCCAGATCCTTGAAAAAAATCTGTATGCCAGATTACTTCTATTTCATGATTTTGGGAAGGCTCTGTAAAGATTGTTATATTGTTATATTTTGCATACTTGAAAGAAAGAGCCCTACACTGCAAAAAGTGATGAAAAATAAGTAAACAAAATGCATTTTAACTTGAGCGCATTTTGACTGCCTTAAAGCAAGATTTGCCCTTGGGACAAGCAAAATGATCTTGTTTTAAAAATTAAGATAAAAACCACTCAATTCAAGCATTTATCAGCTCATAAGTTATCACGTTTTGCTGTGCATGAGTAACTATTTAGCTCTTTGGGCTGAGATCTGATTGGCTGAGGGGGGGTGGTCCTCTCTTAATTAATTTTTTGTCCAAAAAAGCGGATCTAAAGATGAGACAGAGGATAAATCTACATGCATTTGAGAGCGAGGAAGTTAGATGAGTTTTATTTCATAGCTCTATTTTGTAGTTTGAATGTTAACCCCAACTTTGAAGATTTATTATATTTAAGTCTTGCCAGTTCAATATACAAAATTGCCCGTTGTTGAAAATCATGGTGTATTTTTGCTTGCCTGTATTTGCATGTCTGTCTGAGATAGGAGATAGGAAGGAGCGAGATGTTGTTTTTATGCAAATTCTGTTTTATGAATGGACAGATAAGTGAGGACAAATATGCTCTTTCCTCTTCTGACTTCCTGGTGTAATCATTCACAAGATCGCATTTCTAAATTCTACTTTTTTTTTCTGTTTCTCTTTCAGCTACATCTAATGGCACCATGGAGGGCATCGACAACCAGGACGGAGGAGTCTGCAAGAGCAAGTCCATGAAGATAGTCATGAAAGTGGGGCAAAGTGAGTGCGATATCATTGAATTCTAGGCTTGCGGGCACCAGGCGGGGGCCCCAGCACCTACACAAAAGCTCAGAACATGCCCTAATAAGGTCAGGGGCGGCCACAAACGCAAACGGCTCCATCGTCTCCATGACACCTGGGGCTCAGAGGGGCCGAGATCCAGATCCAGAGGCAATGTAGCGGAAGGCTGTCGCGCACACACACACACACAAACACACACATGCACGCACACAGACGCACACACAAGCAGGAAGGGCAGGCACGCACACACAGAGCATCTGCTGTGCATGCTCCCTGAGCCGAAAACGTCCAGTGGAAATGTGCGTCTCATGCCCAAGATTTTGCACGACAAGAGCAATAAAATGGTGGAAAATATAGGTTGAGGCAAAGTTCACAATGTTATGGACGTTAATATAAAACTTGCTTGCAAACTCGGAATCGCAAGGATTTTGAGGTACAACACATAGAGAGACTTTTCCTTCCTCATAAATCAATGTATGGCAGAAGCTAAAGGTTTTATTATATTATTATTAAAATGTGACTGGGTGTTATACGCCAGGGATTTATTCTTCTTCTGTTTCTATACAATATCAAAGGGACAGACACTTTGCAAAATCACTCAGCTTATACCTGTGTAATAACCTTCTCAGTTACCCACCCTATATCGAGAGCAATTTTTACATTTGCATATTGAGTGATCATTTGCATCCGATAAAGAGTACACATACATACATATACAAGACTGCTCGTTTTTGTAAAAAATTAGCTTCACAATACGATAAGAGAACCTTCTTTTGTCTTACTGTAGGGGAATTATCAGTGTTACAGAACTGTAGTTAGATATAGATATAGAGATATACAAAATATACGGAGATAAGTCGCTGTGAATGCTTCATAAGTACAGTAAGTAAGTACATTATAAAGCAATATTCATTACATATCTTAATGTAAGTAAGGGCAATACTGGCAGAATAATCAGTGGATTTGCTGACATTGCGGTATTGCACATGATTGTAGTATTTACAGATTAAATGGCACGTACAGGCTCAACAGTTCTCATTGTACAGTCTGACAGCAGCAAAATACATGCGGATCCACAGCTGTCACAGAAGATATAATATGCTCTCCATGTCCTCTTTAATTAATGTATTCCCATTTACTGATGAAACCTTTGAACATCTTGCTATACAATGTTACAACTATTAATTACAGCTATTATACAAAGGGAAATTCCCAAGGTTGTAGTTAGTTCAATAGCTCCATTCGCTAAATGTTTTTCAAGGTGAGGAAATTAATTGAAGCGGAGCAGGATAAGACGGGGTCAGACCGCTATTTTCTAGATAGAACAAATCACAAGCAATTTAGCAAGAAAAGACTTGTGCGTAAGCTTCCTGTATTATTGTAAATCCCTGTGTTTAGCCGCGGAGCTGAAACAATAAACAATTGTGAGACGGCTGTAAAGTTCTGCTGTGAACGTGGAGCATTGTAAACAGAACGAGGCTTAAAACAATGAAAACAGTTAAAATAATGTGGCTAACCTCTCTCTCTCTCTCTCTCTCTCTCTCTCTCTCTCTCTCTCTCTCTCTCTCTCTCTCTCTCTCTCTCTCTCTCTCTCTCTCTCTCTCTCTCTCTCTCTCTCTGAATGAGTGGCTAACAACTCATTTTGTCTCTCTCTGTCTTTTTCTGCCTCTCTGTATATCTGCTTCTATCTTTCTCTCTCTCTTTATGTGTATCCGTCTCTATCTTTGTCTCTGTTTCTGTCTTGGTCTCTCTGCGTCTCTCTCTTTCTCTATGTCTCTCGCTCTGTGTCTTTCTCTGTCTCTCTCTGTTTCTGTGTGTGTTTTTCTCTCTCTGTCTCTCTCTCTCTGGGGAAGTTTTACCAAAGCCACAATTGTTTTTTCCGTCTTGTCTCATGCTTAGTTAAGAGTCAGCTGAAGAATAAGATCTTTGTGGAGTAAGTCCATTATCTGTGCATCAGATTCAAATGGTATTACATTTCTCTATGAGCTGACCTTACATTTAACCCCAACTCCTCTCACACAAAGACTCAACTATTGATACAAAACAGCACAGAAAAGTCACTAATTAATCCTTACAAGGCAAGGCGAGTTTAGTGTATAGCACAGGTCTTACACAAGGCAAATTAATTGTATCACTGTTTATGAATCTGAAATGCTGCCTCCCACTCAATTAAAGCAATTATAATCTCAAATGTTATTATACCTAAATTTCTCCTACGGGGATCAATAAAGTATCTGTCTGTCTATCTATAACCTGGTATATATTCTCTTCTCTTCCAGATCCCGCAGACCCTATTTCACCCAAAGACAACCCCACCAGAGTACCATACCCGCCCAAGCACCCGGAAGGCAAGACCCCATATAAAAACACCAACGACGTGATGGAGAAGCCAGGTGAGCTCAGCCTTCTGCTATTTACAGCCACACAAAACCCTGGGAAAGCTCTTAATTGGAAGCAGAATTTATAGAAGCCGTTTTTGCGCAAACCAATGATAGAAAGAGAAGGAAAAGAAACAAGAAAAATTGGAAGTGTCCATGTGTGTGGTTTAGAGGCAAAAGGTGAGGAGAAAAAGCAAAGCGAATCGTCAAGAAGGTAATTGAATGTTGCTCATAAAAGTGATAGGCATCAAGGGGCTCTGGCTCCGGTCCAGGCCCGAGGACGCGGTTCTCTTAAGCGATGTTTTGAGGAAAATGAGCCGATCGCTGTCTGCCATCTTCCTTTAACGAGGCGCACTCAGGACAGAAAGCCGCTTGTTCCCAGACCTCTCTCCCCCTCTTGCCTCCCCCCCCCCCCCATCCAGTCCGTATAGAATCACAAGCCGCCCACGATACCGGTCTTATCTCGGCTATTAGATTGCAAGTCACAAATCTGGCACCGCCGAGAAGTGAGGAGGTCGCGCTATTCTCTCCCACCACCGAGTCCGAAAGGCACAGAAGCAGAGGCAGCGGCGGAGAGAGACGGGCTGGAGGCGGCAGCGACCGGTTCCCACGTATTTTTGGGAAGCTAAGCTGGAGATATAGTTGTATAAAGTAGTACGTTTTTAAATAACGTTGTATATAGTAGTAAGGTCAATTAAAAGCTAAACATTTTTCGACCACACAGAGACCAATAATTTAGTAAAATAAATAACTGGGTCATTTCTCATAGCGGTTATTTGACGGTTTCATTGTAAGTTTCCATTAAAATTGCAATCTTTCTCGGTGGGTCTCTTCAGTTTGGGCTTGTAGCGAGCGTCCGATTCTAAGGCTGCATAATCCTCTTGTAAAACAACCAAAAGATTTATTTTTTTCCATTTTCGGCGCTCTGCCACGTTTCTTCCTCTCCCATCTCGAGCCGTCTATTCCCCACTCCAATCTTAACTTTTGCCAATTATTCTATTTACTCCAATGAATCAGACGTGCATTTGCTCTTGTACGTCCCTTATCAAAAAAATTGCCCAAACCTTGTCAAATCTGCTTTCCGACCGCATCTGTTATCACAATACCAAGTTCTAGCTTTCAAAAGTCTCATTCAAGTAGAAGCCATTTTGTCTCTCGTCCTTGTCAAGGTTACTGTCTCCGCCGCCTGCATGTGAATAGCCGGCGATCGAAGCTGACCTTTATAGAGCAGCTTTGAATGGGGAGGTCTCACTCTGCCGCTCTCACAGTTCAATGCACCTTTGCTTTTTGCTGGCAGCCAATCAGGAGAGCGCGTTCAATGCAGTGGGTGCCTCTCCTCGCTTCATTCATGGGCCGCATTGGAAACCCCGCTCACATCTCACCCAGTCGATTCTTTCTATAGTCGTGTGTCTTTTGGGTGTTCTCAATCCCACAGAGACAACACGGCCTTCTTAGCGTAAACATCTCATTCCAAACTATTGCCTTTTTTGTTGTGTGTGTTTTTTGGGCTGTTTGGGTTGTTTTGAAACAAGTCGAGCTCGTCAAACAGCGGGGACAAACGGTGGCAACTATGTTACAAAGTCTATATGCTTTCTTTGAGTGCGAAAAGGGCACCGAGCAAATCAAAAATCAGCTGTGGCTGCAGTAGTAGTTTATCACCACTGTGTGGCGTCTTTGGGTGTTCTGAAAAGCGCTATAGAAAACTAACATTATCATTATTATTAATATTATTACATAGAGTGCTTATGGAATAATCCCAAAGAAATTCTAACATGATGCAAAAGGGGATGAACTAAATTGCATACAATTTAGAAATCTTAAAAGATAGATTTTGGTGTTTTAATTTTTGTTACTTATCTTGTGCTGAATGAAAAACAATATTCTGGAGTCTCACTTTTTGTTAATTTAATAGTGTTGATTATTATAAAATGTACAGATGCTAGTTTTTAGGGCTATATTGTAGCTAGATTATGGAATACTAGCTTTTGACAAGACGTCACAAAAAAGGCTCTGTTAATCTTAAACTCAATCTCCCCCGCCTCTCTCCACAGACTCGGCGCCACATGAGAGCGACGGCGACTCCGGCGGCAAGTCGTCGGGCACCATGGGCTCGGAGGTGGCCATCGTGGTCAGCATCGCCTCGGGCAGCGTCATCTTCATCATTATCATCATCATGCTGGTGCTGCTGCTGCTCAAGTACCGGCGGCGGCACCGGAAGCACTCGCCACAACACGCCGCCACGCTCTCCCTCAGCACGCTGGCCACGCCCAAGCGCAGCGTCGGCGGGGGCAACAACAACGGCTCGGAGCCCAGCGACATCATCATACCTCTCAGGACTGCCGACAGCGTGTTCTGCCCGCACTACGAGAAGGTGAGCGGCGACTACGGCCACCCGGTCTACATCGTCCAGGAGATGCCGCCGCAGAGTCCCGCCAACATCTACTACAAAGTCTGAAAGCAAAGCGAAGGGACTAAAACTCTACCCACGGGGAAATAAACTGAAAAATCAACTCCTCCTCCTCCTCCCCTCCTGGTGTGTCTCTTCTTTTCGTCACAAAAAAATTTGGTTTTTCAGAGAGAGGTCCAGACAAAGGCGGTTTCGCAGGCTCCGTCGCTACGCGGGGAATGGCTGTTCTCGTTTCCCCCAAGCGCTTTGCATTCACAGATTTTTTTAAGGAGAGCTTTATCAGGAAGTGGCATGAAAGACGGACACACAAACGATCAATGGATTTTTGTATTGAATGTTTGCCCACGTTTGTCGGGAGAGAGACTACTGTTACGGAAAGAAACTCTCAAAAAAACGGATCGAGGAGGAGGTTGGCGGGAAAAATGAAGGAGGAGGACCGGACCGCCGCTGATGCTGCGCCTCCCCCCCCCCTCCCCTGCGCCGCTTAAGGCCAGAGACTTTGTGGATTTTTCGAGCTTATAAAAACGGAGGAGAGAAGATTCCCACGTGCTCCCGTCCTCTCTGGGACTTTCCTTACTGACTCACCCAATCACTTTTGCCACCCAAGCGATCACCTTAAAGACTCATATATACAGGAAAAAAAAAATACAAACGCATCTCAACGTGGAAGTTCACCGCGTCATTCCCGTTCACTTCTGTTCCCAAAAACGTTACTTGAAAGTTCATGGACTTTTAATCACCCTATATTTTGTACTTTCTATAGCGTCAGGATTTGACTCATTTTCTCGTTACTTTTCTTCCATATCCCATCGTAGGTTCAGTCATTTTTGTTGAATTTCGTTTTTTCGTCTTTGTCATATCATTATTAAACTACAAGTGACCCTACAGTGGCTATAGATGAGGACAAGATGGCGGAGAATATGGCAGGTCAGGAGTTAGGGTTTGGGGGTGCTAACGAAACATAGAGCAGCACTTTGAATCCCTTTTTTGGTACCCCCACTCGCTCCAGACTACGGGAAGCCGGCTGGAACAAATACAGCCTTACTGCCGGCGGAGTGATGACGCATGTAAACGTTTAGAAAGGATAAATAAAAGAACACTGTATTACGTAACAGCTTCACAATGTAACTGACGTTTACTCTCTTGTGTAAAGACACCCAGATTTTGAAACGATCTGCGGATTTTTTTTTTTTTTTGTATCATAATTTGTATTTTGGACGTTTTTCACATTTTTAAATAAATTATTGCTATTTTAAGTCAATGCTCAAAACAACGTTCTGGAGTCGCACTTTTGTTATTTTAATAGAGTTGGTTTTTATTAAATTTACAGCTCAAGTAAGCGGTTTTGTTTATGACTTTTAGATGCTAGCTTTTAGGGCTATATTGTAGCTAGCTTATGGAATACTAGCGTTTAACGAGACATGTCAAAAAGGGGGAAGTAATAACTTTCAAGACAAGACTTATATTCTCATACAATATAAATGTGCTGCCTAAATTTGCCTAGAGGCCTTTGATTAACAGTTTTTTGTTCATAAATATTATAATTTTCCATTGTTATTGGACTCATAAGACTTCATAACTAGCACACACTGAGCAGATCTGATCAACTTTTGGGTGTTTTCAAACCAGAACGGAGAGCAGTTCCTTAATACGGTGGATATGTGTCGCGTTGCGCTTGCACTCTTGTCCAGTGATGAAGCAGCAGCCATAGGTCTGGTGGGACGTGCCTGATACCCCACACAGGATGAAAAAGGGCTCCTGGGGGCCCCTCTCGCCGGTGTCCACGTGCTCTCAAACATATAAGCACAGGGACATGTCACACCCCCACATCCTTCACCCCTCTCTCTCCATTTGTGACTTTTACTTTTTATAGTTGTACATTTAAAACATTACATTGAAAGATGAAAAGATAGTGAAAAACAAGCAGATTCTATTTATGATAGACACGTAGAGCACAGGCAGCGTGGAGGAAGACGGAAGGATTTTATTATAATAAATGCACATTATGCAAACTTGGACGATTTGATCTCTTCACCACTGAGCCCTAAGAAGCCGGATTCTGGACTGGTTCCTTAGGGCAGGGTAGCTCCCACTCAGTGTAGCATCTCCCAAAGGACTCCCCCTCATATCTCACTCATACGTGCATGTTTCCACCCCCATTATTTGGGCTTGGGTCCCTGTACCGTGCCCCGAGCGCTAATCGCCTACTCATAGAACTCCCACTTCATAAAGAGCATCACCGAAAAGCCAAGCCTTGTATGATCTGAGGTTTGTGCCTCTAAGAGGTTACAAAATCTGCAAATATGCAATTCTTATTTATTTTTGTAATCAATTCTAAGAAAAAAAAACACCTATGGAAAGTGTTCTTAACCACTGAAAGATGTAACAACACACAGCTAGCAAAGAACGCCACAGTCTTGTCGTTTTGTTTCACTTTGACCTGGTTTTCTTTTCTGTACTTCTGTTGGGATAACGTGCCGTAGTTCAAACTGTGAAAAGGTGAAAAAACAAAATGGCTGTTTGGTTGCTGCGGCAGAATATGACAATCTTATTAGTTTCTTTGAATCTGGCGGGCTTTTCTTAGCGGCCGGTGGACTAGCCTGCTACGCTACGCTAACGGAGCGGCAGTTGGAGACAATGGATGCAGCATGTGCGAAGCTGAAGCCAAACCTTTCCTTTCATGTTGATGGGACGTGACTAGTATTAGTAGGGTATTTGCCAGAGAGTTTTGTGTTCAAATCACGCTGTTATTGTATTTAAATATGTGGTTTTGACCGAGCCACGTCTGGCTTAGACATCTTAGACATCTGTACAAACTTAAAGCGACTGGTTCGCTGTGGCAACCTCTGGCACAAGACTGGGCAGAGGAAAAGACACATTTATTTAATGTAATCCATCATCGAGCTTCTCCCAGCTCTGAATGCGACACTGCACATACTTTAGTTCTTCATTACAGGCCTAGTTTTGTTGGCGAAACAGAGATTATTTCTGGCCATTATGTAACACATTTTTATTATTAAGTGAGAATGATTTTTCATCTTAAGCCAGAAATATCTTCAAACCAATTCCATCACATCAGCAATTCAGTCAAACTAAAACATTGGCTAAAACGATCAGAAATGTTTGTCCAGTTTTTGGCATTTTAAGATAAATATAGAATTCAATTGAGTATCTTTGCCAGTATATATGCTAAACTGCAAAAAATACAAAAACCTACGTCAAAAATTTGAATTTAGCTGGCTTAAATATTGGCTTAAAGCTAGAGTACCTACTTGAATTGCTTATTAATACGTGTTCCACCAGAAAGAATGATGTCGTGAACCATTCCTAACACAACATGCCGTCGTATCTTATTGGAAAACCTATTTTGCATACGTAAGAAAGAGCCACGTGAGTCACCGTTTGACTCTTTAGGCTGAGAGCGGATTGGCAGAGTGAGGGTGGTCCTCTCTTTCTCACTTTTCTGTCTAAAAAATCTGATCTAAAGATGAGATAGAGGCCAAATATAAATGTATGTGAAAACTTGTGAGAACACCAAACTGTTTGAAAGTTAGGTACCTCAGCTTTAAATCAATATATAAACTCCTCAATTAAAGCATTTACTGCAACTTCTATGACTGCAAAATGTTTATTAGTATTATTGCATTTTTAAACAAGGTTCAAAGATGATCACTGGCTATACAAACGCCAAATGTTGAACTTCACTTTGGCTTCGCTGCATCCGTCGGTCTCGCTGCGGTCTCTAGTGGGTGTCAGCTTGGCGCCAGGAGAAGCACCCCAGGCCTCGATAAAATGCCTTGCTCGTATGGTCAGCCCTCGTCACTTGACTCAGTAATTTTGCACCGTATTCTGTAGGTAAGACTGTATATACATTAATGTTTGTATTGTATATGGATCCTGGGTTGTTACAATAGCCTTATTCACCTTTTTAGAAAGCTGTACGTGAAAAAAAAACATCTGAAACCTGGAGTACTTCACTTCAAAAGCAGAGCATAAACTACTTTTTTGGTAAATAGCTTATGTACATATTGACCAGAACCCAATAAAACATTTTTATAAACTCTTAAAAGTAAGATGTTTTGTATAAATTTGAATTTTTTGCTATGTATTTTAGCTAGCGCTCGATGGAAAGCTTGTGTCCTCCCACACCCCCTTCCTTTTGCACTGTTTCCATGGTAATTTGGTTTAAAAAATGGAGAGAAAAGTTGCCAAGCCGACTGCTGCATATTTGTGCCATAAGTGTGTACCATAAATATTTATTAAATTAGTTTCTTTTTGTTTGTTATATTCATGATTTTAATTTCACTCCAGTTTGTAAGTAACACAGTATTATCTTTATGCATTTTTTTTGTCCATTTGGGTTTTTCTGTTTCTTTCTGATTGGTCCGCTGTGGTTGCTGGGTGACTGTAGCCCCGCCCCTCCACTCACCCCTCCGCTGTCAATCAACATGGTTTGGTCATTCAACTGTTTCAACTCAAGTGACACACATTCCACCAGTCTGTTACAAACTGAAAAATGTTTTTCAATAAAATGTTTTTCCTATGGATCCACTGTCTCTGCTTCTTTATTACAAGGACAGTATCTGTGGGAAGTAGGTATCGCTGTGGGAGCTGAAGCACAATTCTTACACATGTAGAACTTCAAATGAATATTGAAATAATTATTCATTTTATGTTATTATTGATATTGTCAATACCCTTCTTGACCCTCAAGGATACTGCAATGTTTTTAAAACACGATAAAACTATGGGAAGAGTATGGGATGGGCAGGGAAGATGCTAACCAGAACCGATAGCATGGGGAAAAATTCTCACAAAAATGTGTGAAAAAAAAAGTTTGTGAGTTGATGAGATGTGTGAGCCAAAGGCACTACCTTACATTATAGATGGAGTATTTTTGTAATTAGGAGGAAGGAGAAAAAGAGACACTTGCATTCACAATACAATTGTAATCAAACTGGCCCTGGTTTAAGACCAAAGTTGCAGCATTGTATCATTCTCAGAGCTGGTGTAGTTCATGTATTTGCCACCTCTGGCCTGTAGAGGCG